ACGTAGGGCACTGTATGCAGCTTCTTTGGATTCAAGCCATCAACCTCTAGAATTTATCATCCAAAATGCCTGATTGTTTTGTTTTTCAGCTTTTGAAGCAACAATCTTGTGAAAACTTAACTGTAAGTAATTTGTGCAGTCTGTGGGTTCAGGACACTTCAGGTTTTCCATATATTCTATTTCCTTACCCCCACCCCCTTACTAGCTACCAGCTACCAGGACAGTGATGCAAGTATCAGGAATGGTTGGTATGGGTATTGAGCACAGGGCTGGACATGGTACTTTGTATTTCTTGATATGCTTAAAAATGCCTTTTCATGGTAAGGTTCACTGAGGATTTTAATACTTTGACTTTATGACAATTTTTACATCCCTTGTAAAGGGTAGTCAAGCGCAATGTTTTCTCGCAATTTATTCTCGTACTATTTTAATGTAGATCAAATCGTTTTCGTGTCTCATTAGTTGCCCTTAAGTACATGGGAGGCCAGTCTAGATCAGTATAGTGTTTATAGTACCAGTGGTTTATGTTTTTGTACCATGTCCAGTTACCTTGTGCAACATGGTAAGTAAAACCGAAGACTGTGGCGGCAAGACAGGTGGTCCCAGGACAGGTGAAACAGGTGGTCCCAGGACAGGTGTCTCCAACTACAAGGTGGCTTGATGGAGGGCGGAGGTCATCAGCAGTCATCATGGTCAGGGTTCGAACCTGAACCCCTTGGCCTGTGTGTCTGTGTCATTCATTGATTAGTTAGATTTAGATATAGGCAGGGCCAAAAAAGGACAATTCCATTAGATAGCATAGGAGGAAAGTTGGCATCAAACTTTCTTGAAACTTGGATTAAAAGCTTATAAACTGATTTTAAAAATTCCCCCCGACCCCAAATATTGCCTTAAAAACTTAATTTGATACACAAGTTCTAACCAGAAAATTGCACCTACCTACCAAATTTTGCCTTAAACCTGTTTCTTGAAACTTTGGTTAAAAGGTTCTAAGCTGAAAAAATTCCCCCATCCAAAATATTGTCTTAAAATTATACTTCTGCTTCTTGAAAGTCTTAAGTAGAAACTTCCAACCAGATATTGTCTTAAACCTGTTTCTTGAAACTTTGATAAAAGGTTCAAAGCTGATTTAAAAAAAATTCCCCCAAATCTTGCCTTAAAACACCTGCTCCTTTTAGAGTCCTTTATCATAAATAAATGTCAACCAAATATTGCCTTAAGCCTGTATACTTAAAAAGTTAAAAAAACTTCCCCACCCCAAATATTGCCTTAAGCCTGTGTCTTAAAACTTAAAAAACTTCCCCACCCCAAATATTGCCTTAAGCCTGTATCTTAAAACTTAAAAAACTTCCCCACCCCAAATATTGCCTTAAGCCTGTGTCTTAAAACTTAAAAAACTTCCCCACCCCAAATATTGCCTTAAGCCTGTATCTTAAAACTTCAAAAACTTCCCCACCCCAAATATTGCCTTAAGCCTGTATCTTAAAACTTAAAAAACTTCCCTACCCCAAATATTGCCTTAAGCCTGTATCTTAAAACTTAAAAACTTCTCTACCTCAAATATTGCCTTAAGCCTGTATCTTAAAACTTAAAAACTTCCCACCCAATATTGCCTTAAGCCTGTGTCTTAAAACTTAAAAAAACTTCCCCACCCCAAATATTGCCTTAAGCCTGTGTCTTAAAGCTTAAAAACTTCCCCACCCAAATATTGCCTTAAGCCTGTCTTAAATCTGAAAAAAACTTCCCCACCCCAAATATTGCCTTAAGCCTGTGTCTTCAAACTTTAAAAAACTTCCCCACCCCAAATGTTGCCTTAAGCCTGTACTTAACTTAAAAAAACTTCCCCACCCCAAATATTGCCTTAAGCCAGTGTCTTAAAACTTAAAAAAACTTCTCCATCCCAAATATTGCCTTAACCTTAAGACTCCTTTCTCTGATAAGTTCTTAGCAAAAATTTGCCCCTCCCATCCAAGTATTGCCTTATACCTCCAGTTTCTGGAGACACTTAGGAAGAAAAGTTATAATCAAATAATTCCCCCTTAAACATAACCTTGTATCTTCCATATCTCGACTCTTAAGGGTTCTAAGAAATTATCCCCTTAAATATCGCCTTAAAACTTTCATATCTCAACTGTGATAACCCTCCTTAAATATTGCCTTAACACTTCCATATCTTTATGGTTCTAACTAGAATAGCCAACTCCCTTATATGGGCTTCGAACTCCTGTTCCTTGAAACTTCTTTAAACTTTCTTAGCCCCAAAACATTGCGTTAAAGTCTTGAATCCTTAATACTTTTCTTTAAAACGCTCTGAAATAAATGTCCCTCCGCCAAATATTGCCTTAGTGAGACTTCCTGATGGTAAAGATAACCCCATACTCATAAACATTGCCTTAACACGGTAATCCGACGGTCTCACAGCGCCACCTAGCGTTATTAGAATTGCAACACGTACTTCCAGGGTCGTACTTCAGTATGTAAGGTAGAAGTGCACAGTGCTTGCCGCTCGTATGCGGCCTTTCTCGGCTTTTTCTTCCCAAAATTAATGGCAAATATTTCCTTAGGCCTGTTCCTTGAAACTTGGATTTAAAGGTTCTAATCTGATTAAAAAAATTCCCCCAACCCAAATATTGCCTTAACCTTAAGACTCCTTTCTCTGATAAGTTCTTAGCAAAAATTTGCCCCTCCCATTAAAGTATTGCCTTATACCTCCAGTTTATGGAGACACTTAGGAAGAAAAGTTATAATCAAATAATTCCCCCGTAAACATCACCTTGTATCTTCCATATCTCGATTCTTATAAGGGTTCTAAGAAATTGTCCCCTTAAATATCGCCTTAAAACTTTCATATCTCAACTGTGATAACTATCCTTAAGTATTGCCTCAATACTTGCATATCTTGACTATGGTTCTAACTAGAATAGCCAACTCCCTAATATGGGCTTCGAACCCCTGTTCCTTGCAACTCTTCTTTAAAACGTTCTTAATGGCCCCAAAACATTGCGTTAAAGTCTTGAATCCTTAATACTTTTCTTTAAAAAGCTCTAAAATAAATGTCCCTCCGCCAAATATTGTCTGAAAACACCAGATTTCCTGATGGTAAAGATAACCCCATACCCATAAACATTGCCTTAACACGGTAATCCGACGGTCTCAGCGCCACCTAGCGTTATTGATCAGAATTGCAACACGTACTTTCAGGCTCGTACCTCAGTATGTAAGGCAGAAGTGCACTGTGCTTGCCGCTCGTATGCGGCCTTTCTCGGCTTTTTCTTCCCAAAATGAATGGCAAATATTGCCGTAAGCCTGTGATTTAAATGTTCTAATCTAAAATAAACTCCCCCAACACTAAATATTGCCTTAACCTTAAGACTCCTTTCCCTGATAAGTTCTTAGCAAAAATTTGCCCCTCCCATCCAAGTATTGCCTTAAACCTCTAGTTTCTGGAGACACTTAGGAAGAAAAGTTATAATCAAATAATTCCCCCTTAAACATAACCTCGTATCTTCCATATCTGGACTCTTAAGGGTTCTAAGAAATTGCCCCCTTAAATGTCGCCTTAAAACCTCCATATCTCAACTGCGATAGGGTCCATAACCAACCTTAAATATTGCCTTTAAGTTAACACTTCCATATCTCAACGGTTATCTCAAAGTAGATATTTCGCCCTTAAATATCGCCCTAAAACTCCGTGTCTAGACTGATAATTTCCGAGAAGTCCCCCCTTAAATGTCGCCTTAAATCAAAACCTTTTCCCGACTATGATAGGTTCTAACCAGATAATTACCCCTAAAATATTGCCTTAAAATTTCTTTTCCTTGAAACGCTGATAGAGATGCAGATAATAGCCAGGTCCCTTATATGGGCTTCGAACCCCTGTTCTTTGCAACTCTTCATTAAAACGTTCTTAATAGCAGATAATGGCCACAAAACATTGCGTTAAAGTCTTGAATCCTTGATACTTTTTCTTTATTAAAAGCTCTAAACAAACAAGTGTCCCTCCGCCACCAAATATGCCTGTAAACACATCCGACGGTCTCACAGCGCCATCTAGCGTTATTAATCAGAATTGCAACACGTACTTCCAGGCTGTAAGGTAGATGTGCACAGTGCTTGCCGCTCGTATGCGGCCTTTCTCGGCTTTTTCTTCCCATAATTAATGGCAAACATTTCCTTAGGCCTGTTCCTTGAAACTTTGATTTAAAGGTTTTAATCTGATTTGAAAAAACTCCCCCAACCTCAAATATTGCCTCTTCTAAGAAATTGCTCCCTTAAATATCGCCTTAAAACTTTCATATCTCAACTGTGATAACCCTCCTTAAATATTGCCTTAACACTTCCATATCTTGACTATGCATATATATGGTTCTAACTAGATATTTTCCCCTTAAATATCGCCTTAAAACTCCGTGTCTAGACTGATAATTTCCGAGAAGTCCCCCCTTAAATGTCGCCTTAAATTAAAACCTTTTCTCCACTATGATAGGTTCTAACCAGATAATTCCCCCTTAAATATTGCCTTAAAATTTGTTTTCCTTGAAACGCTGATAAAGATGCCCTAAGCAAATAGTAGCCAACTCCCTAATATGGGCTTCGAACCCCTGTTCCTTGCAACTCTTCATTAAAAGAGCAGATAATAGCCCCAAAACATTGCGTTAAAGTCTTGAATCGTTGATACTTTTTTCTTCATTAAAAGCTCTAAGCAAACAATTGTCCCTCCGCCACCAAATATTGCCTGAAAACACCTGAGACTTCTTGATGATAAAGATAACCCCATTACCCATAAACATTGCCTTAACAAGGGTTACTTGTAACAAGCCGATCGGTGTAAAATGTAGCCAGCTGCCGCCGCGCCGCGTGCCTTTCAAGCTGGTGTGTTACGCCGAAAGGCGGTTATACCGGCAAAACAGATACAGATACATTCCCTGTGGAAGCGACATCTAGCGATTTTGTCCCGAAGCGCAGTCCCCAGTGACGTGACCCCTTGTCGCGAAGTGACCCCAATTGTCGCTTGTCACTTCCGCCTTGGGCTCCCGAATCCCCGTTCCTTCCCACCTGGCTTTCCGGCGACTCTTTCCCGACTTTAAGCCAACCATGGGTCCCTAAGGACACTGAGGATGGAACCCTGGACCGTCTGGGCGACGTGTCTGCTACTGGGGGTCGCTGGTTCGATTCCCGCAGCAGCGCAATCAACAGGTAGTTTGTTTTCTTATCTTTGCGAACTGAGCTTGACTGAGTTAGCGCGACCCCTTAGCCTCCTGTGCAGGCCCAGCGACGGTGGGGAAGAGTTTTTAACGGGTTATTTTAATATGGTGGAACCTTCTCTCGGCGGCTATGTAGGATGGCCGGCTATATTATTAAAATAACGCGTTTAACTAAAAACTCTTCCCACCGCCGCGGGGCCTGCATAGGAGGCTAGCGACCCCTGACCTCTCTGAAGCCCCAGGCGATGACAAAAATGATACTAGAGTAGAAAATCTACTATCCTGAAATTCAGAAATGGACCAATTTCGCAGTTTTGGAACAAACTTAGATTTATATATGCAAGGTTATGTAGACTTGCTATTAAAATAGGAGTGACACTGTAAAATCTGCTACGTGTCTGTGAAACTGGTATGTTTTGAAGCCCCAGAGACTAACAAAACCAATACTAGAGTAGTAGATTTACTATCATGAAATTCAGTAAGGGCCAATTTCTCAAGTTGTCACACCAACTTTGAGTTGCAGGACTTGTCTACTTGCATCAATAATAGGAGTGACATACCGTCTACTGTAATGTAACTAAGCGCTGCTACGTGCCTGTGAAGCTGGTGTGTTAAGTAGAGGGGAGGGGCGGTTATTCCTGTTTCACACATACACATACACAGACACAGAACTAGTATTGTTCAAAGGATTAGGGAATTATAATACTGCATTCAGTGGAATAATTGTGGTGGGTAGATCGCTTCCGTACCCTCTGTAGTCCAAATTGTTTATCATATGAATGGAGGTACATGTGCATCTATTTGGTGTGTAGATTGGGCCTGCTCGACTGTTTATGAACTACACATACTGTACTCCTAGACCTCTAAACCATTTTGTAAACCTGTGATAGCATGCAAATGGCTTGTATCAGAATAAGCATAGATCAAAATACTAGTAAACACACACGGCATATACTGTAGGACAGCTGTGTGGTACACAACGTTACTGTAGACTTTCAATGCCAATCCCCTCAAATTCTTAGTCTCCATAGTATGCCAAAAACTGGGGGGTTTGGGGGTCTTCAGGGTCTTTGGGATCTTTTATGTGCTATTTTCTGATTGCATATAGACAACATAGACGGCCTGGTTGAATTACCCCCGTTTTTTTAGAACTGGGCTAATCAGAAAACAGCCGAAGACCACCAAACCCCCAGTTCTATAAGCCTGCTATGGAGGCTAATCAGAAAACAGCCGAAGACCACCAAACCCCCAGTTCTATAAGCCTGCTACGGAGGGTATTTAATTCTACACATACTCCACTCAAGTTTTAAGTAAAGTTGGCAATGTTGCGCCGAATGTTTTGCCCTTGCAAGGAGTTGTATTCCTCAAATATATGGGTTTCTAGAGTCAATTTCACCCCAAAATGTAGGGGCGAGTTCTACACACAGGGCAACTATTTGACCTTGAGGTTACCATTTGAAGGGCACGTAGTGGCCCGTTCATGCGTGACTTTAGCCCGAAGCTGTTCTTAGACAAAGAAACTCGTCTTTATCCTAGAGACGAAATTTGTTCGCTGTTTGTTTTGTTACTCGGTGAAGCGTGTTTTTCGTGGTGTGCACATGCGGGCGATTTGGCTGACTGTAACTTTATATCCGTAATTATACTAATAGTCTACTGGTACAACCACCTCTACTGTATAGCCTGGTATCCAGTCTTTCGTGGTAGGGGCGGGTTTTCCTCGGGACCGCATGAACTCTTCCCCGCCCGCCTCAGCTAGGTTTCCCGGTGTGTATTTCACGAGAGATTGATTAGCAGTCCCCAAGCATACTGTCTCTTATTAGCGTAACACTCCTACCGGGACGGCCTGTTGTACTGGGCGGGGAAAGCTATTAGAGCCCCCGAAGACACAGCCTGCCTGAACACCCCACCAGCCCCAATCGCGTAAGACTGGATACCAGGCTAGCCCCAGTATTAGCCTGTGAGGGGGGCTGTGGTATAATTTCCTTGGGGCATGTTGGCCCTGGAGCCGAGGAACCGACCAGTGTAGGCCCTGAAAACAGTCTGGCACCCAGGCTACTGGATACCGGGCTACAATAACGTTACTGACACAGTAGCTTCACAGGCACGCGGTGTTGGAGGGTTATACTTGACAACTTGTCACACCTCAGCCCATCACAATAAATATACCACCAATCCTTGTCTATTAGAGTATCTAAGAAAACTTCTTTACCCTACGTTAGAGATCAGGAATTTCACCCATGTGGTACCGTACATATTTCAGACCATCCCACTGTTTATTGACGTAACATTACCTGGGACCAGGTGGTCCTTTTAAAGAAAGAGTTCGTGTCAACAAACTGTAACTATTACGATGCCTCGTATTTGTTGTCAGCAAATACTAGTAGGGTTAGATTTTACTACCGTCCAAAGTTTTGTGCACCTTATTTTAGTTTTTTAGTTGGTTGTAGGGTTAAAACCGTTGTTTGAATCATTTTTAGTAGGTGATGAGTAAGTCAGTAAGCATTTGATACGTTAGACACAGGAAAACGGTATTAATAGATATATCCTTTGGGGTAACCGCTCACCTTTAGCGCATGAGCTTTTAATTAATACCTTGTAACAGTTACGGTGTCTTTTGTAAGGGACACCGGAATCTTTGAAATTGGTGAAGATTTTCAAAACAAATCCCTAGAGGAGCTATTAAGCTGGTGTGTTACGCCGAAGGGCGGTTATACCGGCTATGCTGATGCAGATACAGATACAGAAGCATTCCCAAGTACAAGGAAATAATACCCTTCGGAGGCCAAACTTTCCTCGCCAAATATTCTCCCCATTTGGCTAAATTTGCCGTTAATACCACAGACCGGTATCCTGGGTTCCATTCAGGGCGCTCCCATGTCGCCGGCCGAACCCCCGGACAGACCCTATAGCTAATCCTGTCAACATCTGTTTAGTTAATGCATAACCAATATTTCACCCCGCGTCGCGCGTGTTTCTACCCTGACTCATCGTCAGTAGTTTGGGTTTAATAAAGACTTCAGGGTCGTGTCTGACTGTGCCAAGCACGAATTTAGTCTCCAACAGACTTAAACAACGCCGATTGAAAAATTGTAGTAAAAGTTAGCTAGTTCCTCCAGAAATTTGTCAGTTTGGGTTCAATAAAGACTTCAGGGCCGTGTCTGGCTGTACCAAGCACGAATTTAGTCTCCAACAGACTTAAACAACGCCGGTTAAGATAAAAAAAATAACTGTATTATAGGTTTGTACAAAACCTATTTCCCTATTTCATACACTTAAAGCACTGTAGAAAATATTCCTAATGCAATTAGACAAACCATCCATCGAGAAACATAGCTGTTCTTTTATTCTACAATAACTGAAAAGCAAGGAGAAGTTGAATTTGTATAAGTTATAACGATAGTTTCTATGTGTATCCGTTAACTGTATCTGTTCATCTTGTTTTGTTGTGACCCGTGCGTAGCCCAGTGTGACAAAATGTGCAATAAATGTCGTCATTCATTCGTTGATCACCCATGTATTATCATGCTATGGTCGTACACGGAGAAAGGTTAAAGGTTACCCTGTCGGGCGTGACTGAACCATTGACACGGTTCCAAGTTTGGCCTCATTTTCCCGATTTGGCGGGAATCCAGTTCAAATTGGGACAGAGGTCAACGTTTAACTCCAAGCAGATGTTGGGGAGATCGTTATTTTTTCTGCCGTGAAAAGGAGCATCTCTGTAAACGAGAAAAAGCTCAAGTGTCTCTTTGCTGCAGGCTTATTTTATCACTCGGATGAAGACTAAACAAACAAAAGACCCATGACACAGGAAACAAACTTGTGACAGAAGAATGTGGCCCGTGTGTTGGTAAAACCTCACCTCATCACGCAGCGCGTCTGCTGTAGTCACCCGTGCGTGATACCAGACCGCTTGTCAAGACTAATACTCTTAGAACTGACAAGGATGAACTTTCACTCAGAAACACCCGGTTTCCGCTAGTTGAGCGTCCAAATGTTTGAAACATTACTCATTGAAGTTCGTAGACGAAGAAAGATTTTTGTTGTGCGATTTGTGTTTTCATGCTTTTGCACCGTGCGTTATAAAATCAAGGGTACGGTTCGGGGGTACTGCATAGTGAAAAATCGTCCTGGTCTCTTCCACAACAGGTGTCACATGTTTGTTTACGTACACAGTTATCATTGAGACTGATAATGTCAAAAATCGTAGCGCTCTTCCTTTCAGTTTGTTTATTAGTGAGATAGAATCGGCTGCAGGTGTCTCTGTCGTATTTGGGGTAAACACTACCGGTCTGGTGGGTTGCTCCGAACCTTAAGTCTCCACCAGACTCGTTTGCAGGCTAAATAAATAGTAGAAATCGGCCTAAAAAGAAATATAATTTGCCTACACGGACCCTCTATGGACGGCCAACTCCTCTGACTAATTTATTCCTGTTTATGCCGATTTCTACTATTTATTCAGCCCGGTTGGCTGCTCTGAACCGGCGGGAAACACACGCTCTTCCGTCAGAATATTGACTGCGAAGCCGGTACAGCGGCCACCAACGATGCCTGACATTACACAGGAAAAGTGATCAACAATGAATATATTAGAAGCACTCCCTTGTAATATTATAGTTTTATGGTCATTTTACTTCGTACTATTATTTTATCATTTCCTATGTCTTTGCAAGTAGCCCTCGGGCATGAATTTGCCTTAAACGGCCCAATTATAAACAAACGTTATTTTAATCAGTAGCGTATATATAGAGAGATTATATAATAGGAAGGGGAGGGTCAAATAAGAACGATTATGACAAGTTGAAACTTAAGATCCAACACAAAGCAGTTCTCTCACTTAGAGCTTTTGACCAGTCACTCTGGTCTTCCTCAGTAGACTGACCCAGTGAGGCTTGTCACGTGGCTTCTTTGAAGTGTGACGTCAACACTGGGTCATAGGCAATATCTGCCCCCGTCGCGGTTAACTGAAGGGTGATGGGCCCTGATGTATATAGTCTCTTTCACCCCTCTCAGGATATAGTCTTGTTCAGTGTCCAATATTTCACAGTGATAATAAGATCATAAATTGATTTTTTTGGTTTCGTTCCCCCCAGGTCTTCCCCCGGCCTGTATTAAGATGAGCCACCCTGAGGTAGTACCGGTGACAGTCGCTGGGGGCGTCCTGACGTCACCGTTCTTCTCAGATCACGTGACCTATCCGACATATCTGGACTGCCTGTGGAGACTATCGGTGAGACATTTTACACGTGACGTCATAGCCGCCATTTTGGTTGGTTAAACTTAAAAGAGTCAAACACGTCGGCAGAACGTACTGCGCCTGTGCAAAACCAGTAACTTCGGCATAAGGTCTCTCTTAAATTCGTCTTCGCGTATATAAGGATGACATTCAGTACAACTTACTACAAGCCACTACAAGCCATGCAATATTGATAGAAGACACAGTATATATAAAGTGAAAGGCATAGCGTTTTGTAAGTCTATTGACATACCAGACAACCCACATATTATAAAAGAAGTGGGTAAATTCGTCTTCCATTGCCTAAAAAGAAGAAGTCAAACCCAGTAAAACTAGTACCATGTATGTTGTAGAATACAGTATAATGCTAGACGTAGATATAGTCTCACATACCACTGTATTTTCTTTCTTATGTTGTTTGTAACTGCAATTAGCCCTCGGGCATGTATTTGCAATAAACTTTCATCATTGACCAGTTACACCATTCTATTACAATCTATTGCCATGACGGTTGTTGAAGATCGTATGAGTGACTTACGCTCGAATTACGCTGCAAAGGGTAAGCGATTTTATGTGGTTTGAGATTTTAGTGGACTAGTGATTAGAAGTAGTTGTACCTAATTTCCAAGCAGATCCCTTTCGGTGGCAAAAAGACAGTATCAATTAGGCCAGGCAGTATCCATTAGCCATAGAAGGTCCGCGGCCACCGTTGGTGGGGGTAGCGACAAAAAAAAAACCCGGCCATATATTAAAAGCTAACGATCATTCCCCCACAACCTCTGCTTGGAGAGTAAGTTGTACCCTTGTGAAAGACAATTCAGTGCCCATGTCAAGGGCTTCTGAGCTACTGTACCTTTTGGAAGTTCGATAAACCGGTCATATAATATTTTCCTCTTTAGACCGAGGATGGTTTCTACCCTGTGGTGATGGTGGAGCACTTCGATCTGCAGCCGCAAGGGGGCGTGGGCTGCAGAGACGCCTTCATCGTGCACTTCCCGGACCTGGGGCCGGACAGGAGCGAATACGGAAGTAAGGAAAGGCCGTATCTACAAATAAAAGATTGTCTACGCCAAACAAGAACAGTTACTCAAGCAACTGCATATGGTTTGAGGTAGCGACCACTACCTTTCGTCAGTGACAGTTGCTACCTGAGACGTCTGACCGTTTCCAAAATCATATGCAGTTGCTTGAGTAACTGTTCATTGGTGTATCTTATTACCAGGACGACTAGATAATTCATTCCATACTTATAACGTGTTGCTAAATACGTTATTAGTATAAGTAAGCTCATATGAATATCAGAAACTAAAGATCTACATGAATTTCAATTGCCTGATCTTTAAGAAGTTGTCCTTTCTTGTCTTCAGATTTCTGTGGTACACAGATCCCGAAGTGTTTCTACTACGCCGGCAGGCACATCGACATCCGTTTTTTCACAGACGGAAACACGCAGAGCAACACGGGATGGCGGATCACCTATAATGCCAGCAGAACTCCAGGTAGAAAGCTCCTCTCCTTCAATAGCAAAAATTTTTTTACAAAATTTTTTTCAAAAAAAATTTTCTAAAAAATCTTTTCTAAAAAAATTTCTACAAATTTTTTTCTCCAAATTTTTTTCTAAAAAAAGGAAATTTTTTTCCAAAAAATTTTTTCTACAAAATTTTTCTAAAAACTTTTTTTCAAAAAGAGGGAAAAATAACTAGAAAGGTAACATTTGCAAAGCAAATGCATAATACATTTGTATCAACCTTGAAGTTCACATATGGTCTGCTCTGTTAATTCTCACTCAAATACATATGGTGACAGGAGTCCAAATCCCTCCTGCTATAAAATTGCAACATAGTGTAATCCAACACCAGTTACCATGGTGACAGACGTCTGGTTCTGGTCATTGACCTTTTGTTTTTGAAACAGAAGAAGAGAAAGAAGAAACAGATCAAAAAATAATATGTTTTCATTTTGCGGAGGTAAACATGATGAGCTTTTTTCTACGTTGAGAGGGAAGATTGAGAAGGGCCAACACCTTCCTTTTTTAATTTCTATGCATTTTTTAAATTTTATACTGTATAGTTAAGGTCTCGTGTGAGCAAAAAATGTATTGTTTTCGTTCGCGCATAATGGGCGCCGCCATCTTTGTTTTCCCAGTTTGCCCAACAGAGGCACCACCTGTGTTGGTCAGCACGATCGCAAGTAACACAAAAGCCACTGCGAACACGGGAGGTAGGTTCACCTGGATTAACTATTTTTCTATCTATTGTCTTTGTATCATACATGGGGAATCCACTGTTGAACTTCTTATATAAAATTTATCGAGTGAGAATGTCCTTACTGAACATGGTGACAGCGAGTTCCACATGATACAGTACATGTAGTTAAACGCCTTTTCCAGGTTGCTGAACTTATTGCCTTAATCTTGTTCCCTCATAGATGGTCATTGTGTCTATCTTCTAGAGCATGTAATATGTTGTGTCAAATGCCGTTGATAGTTATGATAAATTCTTCATACATTGTGTGATCTTAGATATGTGCACCCCCTCGAATTGCCGGTGGTTTCGTCCATTATTTTAGATGAGTGACACTCACGTGTAGTTATCTTGTCTGACGTACGGATACTGAAAAACCCCCTTGTGACCCTCCACAGTTGGCCCTACCGAAACACCTCAGACTCCGACCACCCCGCCCGGCCTGACCATCATGCCTAGCGAGAGGCCGCCATTGGTCGGAGCCATCGTGGGCGGGACCCTGGCCTGCGTTGCCATAGTTACCATGCTGTTGCTATGGTGCTTCTGCTGCTATTGGAGGAGAAGGAAGCGACCGTAAGTTCCACCTTAGCATCTCTGTATATATACAATACAATAAACTTTAAGGCTTTCGTTTCTGTCATAGCCTCGTATTCTCCAAGACGAGGTTTGGGAAGGTGTAAAAAATTTCAGTGCAAAAAAGAAAACCCTATAAAAAGCCTCAAAACACCCAAAATAAGCCAAAACCCAAACCTCTGCTTGGAGAGTAATAACTTGGCTGGAAATCATCTTTGACGTTTTTGTTCACATAAATACGTTGTATTTACAGGCCTAGGGTGTTCGTTTGCCTTTTTTCTCTCATATTTCATTTCTTGTTTCTCCTGTTCCAGACCACAGGTTGCGGAAACCCTGGCCAATCCGGGAGCGCGTCCCGACATCGTCATCTTCCGAAATGGTGAGGACCGAACCAGCCTCATGAACCCCAACTACGGTCAGAGGGCAGAGTTCACCGCGTTGGCCGCCATGTCTAGCAACCGCGGGGCAACGCCCGACAACTGCTACTCCGGGGGTGACTTGAAACAGCCACTGCTAGACGGAGCGACGAGTCCAGGGGTGGAGTCACCGAGACACACCGGCCCGCCAAAGTTCGTGCCCCCCTCCCCACCTGCCGCGAGGCACGCCGGTCCGCCGAAATTCGTGCCCCCTCCCCACCTGCCGCAAGGCATGCCGGTCCGCCGAAATTCGTGCCCCCCTCCCCACCTCCCGCGAGGCATGCCGGTCCGCCGAAGTTTGTGCCCCCCTCCCCACCTCGCTCCCCGAGCGGCAAAGACTGGTCGGGCGGCCCCGATGACGTGTTCTTTGAAGACCGCAGCAGAACGTACGACGAGTATTCGGACCCGGGATACGCGGAGATTGACGAGAGCATCGCGAAGGTCGGCGATGGCGAGTTGCGTTTGGATGATGCCGCGGGAGGTGGAGATGCAGGATCCGCCGCTAGGGGTCGTGACTGTTCAGCCAATGTGTACATCTTCAGCCCCAGGCCGAAGTTTCCCGCCAAGCGCACTCCGCCCTATGCTCAAGTCAGCCTGCTGGACGATACTAACGAAAAAGGCGGGAACTTCACCTTTGATGTCGCCGGCGACGCGCTCCCATTGGCGGAGGGTTACGACGAAACCATGGCAACCGCGTCACGTGACTCCGGGCACGGCACGGCCGGAAGTGACGCGGACGGGTACGAGGTTCCCATAGCAACGCGCGCTGAAGAACTCGAAGAAGACGCCGATGGATACGCCGTTCCCATGGCGACAGCCAGCCCCAACAACCAATCACAACTCGGCTACGATCATCTGCACGACGCGGATAATAGTAGGAAGCAGGGGATTGGCTACGATCATCTCCATGGCAACAAGAACGGCTACGATCAGTTATCGCGAGAGTCGGACAAACCACCCGGTCCCAGGAGTTCAAAATACAGCAAACTGGACAACAGGGAAGAAGAAGACGATCTTTGAGATGCACCTATAATTAACTGTTTGCCTCAGTCAGGTTCTTCATTTTTTTACAAGGCAGGAGAACAAGCATTGAGGATTTTTTTTTTGTTTTAAGGAGGTGGAAAGCACCATGAAACTCAGATGGTGTATTTCAGACGGTCTTGCAAACGTCGAACAAAGTTCTATCCAGAACCGTTCCCCATCCAGAACTGTGCTTCGGTTCTGGATAGTTTACGCGTATCCAGTACAGGGTGTTCATTTGCCTTTTTTTCAGAATTCTTTTTTTGCATAATTGATTTTCGCGATAACTAAAGCAAGGTTTAAGTGCTGGCTGCTTAACCAATCAGACGCTTCCATTCAGAGTGACGTCAAACTATGACACTGTTTAGTTGTACAATAACAAGTTGTGCCTTCTGAAAGTATTCCACTAATGATACTTTAAAAATGTTAACTTTAGATATAATATTGAAAAAAAAACGTAAAGAAAAAAATGTGGCGCACGTTTTAGAAAATGGTTTTGTTTTTTAGAGAAGTTCCTTTCATGGAATGTTTTGCGTTATTTTTCACCTGGTGCTGCTAAAGAAAAGAAATTTTACTAAGTAACGTGCAGGCCGTATAATGAACACTGTAACGCTTGGGAAATGAAACTTTCTCAAATTAGCTACGTTTTGCATTGATTATAATGAAGATGTACATATTTCTTGTACTAAAATTGCAGGTGGCATTAAAACCTTTAAAACGATGGTAAATGGATGTCTTAACTTTGTTGATGTATACGAATTTTTCTCTTCCTAAATCTAGATACTTGTTACTTTTTAAACATTGAACTATTTTAGAAATTGACTGTTTTTCTTAACTTTGCCAAGTGTTTGTGTGTTTGTGTGTATGTATGTGTGTGTGCACGCGCGCGTTTGTGTGTGTTAGTGTGTGTATGTGCGTGTGTGTTTGTGCGTGTGTGTGTATGTGTGAGACTAGCAAGTTGAGGATGAAACAAAGAAATAATCACAGACTACAGAAACTGATACATTCTTCAACCATGTATTTTGTTGCTGCATATTATTATTCAAACTCCGGTTAATATAAACATTGAACAACCAGAACTCTGATATAAGGAATTATTGGTTCAGAGCATTTTTTTACTTCTTGAAAAATAACGCAGTGTTCTTTATACATATTGCGTCATCTGCATAGCTGAAGTTATGTACATAAAACCGTTGCCACAAAACATGAACTGTTTACAAATATCATTTGCAAATTATTTCATAGATTATTTCATTGATATTTATGAAGCAAGTTTAAACTGTAATTTCCAAAACAAGAAATTGGACTCACCCAAAATTTTTGACTGTACAACTCCAGTCTTTGTACAGGAATGAACAATCCACCCCTTCCGTGACGTCACGCAGATAACACACGTGACTCCGTGAGCAGTGGATCATAGGTTGCAGAAAGTCTGTGGCGCCCCCCGTCTCTGTTGAGGGATGGTTGTAATACATTGATATTTCATTGATTTTTACAGTTTGCAACGGTAGCGTCTTATTTTTTCGGATTCAGTCGGTAGTTTCTCAATATTTCAGACGTCTTCGACCCGTCTGACTTGCGCATGCACCTTCATGACGTCCTCATAAGATGGCGGCAGGTCCCGTGACGTCATCCTGCTGGTGCTGGGCGTCCTGCCCTCGCTCCTGACGTCACACATCACGTGATCGTTCCGCGCATGCGCCGTGACGGCCGCGTAGGGAGGCGGAGGGTGGTGGTTGAAGATCAGGTAGAAGTGTCCCCGGTCCCTCTGCTGCTGCGCATGCGCGTGTCTGATCAGGTTGTCATGGGAACCGTGAGGCGTGGTTTCTCTCGTGCTGGGAAAACGGAATTATGGGTAAATTTTCAGCAACTTAAGTACTACTCAAAACTACAGTGCAGAAACACACACACACTCACACACACACATACACACACACACACACATACACACACATACACACACACACACACACACACACACACACACACACACACACACACACACACACACACACACACACACACACACACACACACACACACACACACACACACACACACACACACACACACACACACACACACACACACACACACACACACACACACAACACACACACACACACACACACACACACACACACACACACACACACACACACACACACACACACACACACACACACACACACACACACACACACACACACAGGCACACACACACACACACACACACACACACACACACACACACACACACACACACACACACACACACACACACACGCACACACACAGACACAGACACAAACACACACACAAACGCACACATACACACACACACGCACCAATACATACATACACACACACATACACACAGTCACATACATACATATTTTCCATGAACAATTACACAAACAATAACATTACAACATGACACAATGTTACAGACACTTCTGTGAGCATGAGAATAGCAAAACCTAATACATATATAGTTCATGACCCACTATGCATGTTATTCATGCTCATGAAATCTAATCTCCATAACCCCTTAGGAAAACCCACTGGTAACTACAAGCGACTGAAATCCCCTCCTATCATTGACTATGACCCTAGAAATCTCTTTTCCAAGAAGCCAAATCCCAACACATCCATAATATTCTCTCGCCGACATTTTTAGTGCCACGTGAGAATTATTTTCTCCGAACTCAATCCCAGCGTGGGAGACAAAAATAGGCGCACGCTACTCATGCATGAGGGTTATGTTGGTTAGTGCTTCTCTCAAGTATAATTGCAACAGACGTGCTAGAGCAGGCTGAATAGATGTCACAGTTTTGAGTGGTTTATTTGAATTAACGTTGTCAGAAACAGACGCATATGCTGCCATAAGAGAATGATGCCTTTCTTTTACCAGATACTGTAGATGTCACATTGCAGTGTTCAGTGATTAATTTGAAGCAAATTTAGCAGAAATAGACAAGTGCCCCTCGTGTATTGCCGTTGCAATTTGAATAAAGAAAGGAGAAAGAAAGAAAAAGACGTACTAGTATATGCTGCCATTTGATAATTACTGTATACCCTTCTTTTACTGAAAGGCAATCGCTGAGGTACCAAAATTTGATTTGTGCGACCTTTAATTTTGTATTTGGAATATGATGTTTAAGAATGATTTAAAAGACACAAAAATAAGCACAAGAAATTGGTTCTTTATGTATAAAATTGATCTGCCTCATGTTTTAGAAGTTCTTAGAAGTCGCTTGGCGTTCCCAGTCTCTAGTGGAATTGGGTTGTTATGGATGGTGCTTCTACAAACATAATTATAGCAGACATGCTGTTACAGCAATCTGAACAGATGTAACAGTGTTGACTGGTTTGTTTGAATCAAAAGTGGCAGAACAGACTTATATGCTGCCATAGGATAATTCTGACCCTGTTTTTTACTAAATCGCAATCCCTAAGGTAACAAAATTGAATAAGTGTGACCTTTGATTTTGAACTTGGAATATGATTAAGAATGGTTTAAAATACACAAAGATAAGCAAAACTTAAAGAAATTGGTTCTTTCTGTATGAAATTGAGCGATCTGTCTAGTGTTTGGCCACTTGGAAGTCGCTCAGCGTTCACAATCTCCAGTGGAATTGGGTTGTTATAGATAATACTTTTCCAAACATAATTATAGCAGAAACGATGTTACAGCATGTTGCAGCATGTTGGATACATGTGCAGCGGAGCTGAGTGGTTTTATATTGAACCCAACTTGGGAGACTGAACGTCTGCCATACATCTAAGGCCACAGCAAGTAATTTCTATGGATAACATCAACGCGCGCATTGACTTTCAAAAAACAAGGAATTTTGTTGCGTTCTGACAGTGGACAACATGCCGAAAATGGGTTAATATGTTTGTTGCCATGCCGGAACGTGGATGACAGATAAATGTGAAGAGAGGAGACAAGGCTATGAGTTAATGTTTTCTTTTCTACTTTGTTACAGTGTTGTATTTCATTCCTTCATACGTGATGTTGCCGCTGAATAAAAAAAAATCTCGTTTATCAAGGCTAATGATCTCAAAATTTGAAAATATTGGAATCTTTTTTGGTGGGCCCGTTTTGTTTCTTTTTTTGTCCTATCGCATTAGATTTGGAGTCTGCGGAGGATGTCATCCAAAAAATGTACTTGATGTGGCCTAACATTGATTTTACACGGATAGACATAAGGCAGTAAAATTCACAGGAATACGCGTAACCCCATTTAGGTTGGTAATTGAAAAACAATTGGATATTTACTGTTGTTAAATAGGAATAAATGCTATGGTGAGGCTGTCTTTTACGATGTAGGAACAGACTGTATGTTCTTTTGCATGTTTATTTAGCTTCTTTTTGGGGGGGGGGGTCAAGAGGTACATTTACTCAACATTTATAAATATTTTCCGTGTAGATTTTTATATACGTGGAAGGTCAAATAAGGCGGCAATAGAAAAGTAATTATAAACCTATTGTAAATCTATCTACAATCTATTATCAATATATTGAAAATTTGATCTCTGTGTAATCCTTCTTCAACATTTTACTATAAAAACAATACGTTTCTTTCTGCGAAGATACACATAATATAGCCTCCGTAGCAGGCTTATAGAACTGGAGGTTTGGTGGTCTTCGGCTGTTTTCTGATTAGCCTCCGTAGCAGGCTTATAGAACTGGGGGTTTGGTGGTCTTCGGCTGTTTTCTGATTAGCCTCCGTAGCAGGCTTATAGAACTGGGGGTTTGGTGGTCTTCGGCTGTTTTCTGATTATTCCAGTTCTAAAAAAAAGCTTGGGTAATTTAACCAGGCCGGCTATGTTGTCTATATGCAATCAGAAAATAGCACATAAAAGCTCCCAAAGACCCTGAAAACCCCCAAAACCCCCCCGTTTTTGGCATGCTGTGGAAGCTACAAACCCCCCCGTTTTTGGCATGCTATGGAGGCTACACATAATAATGCTCGTCAGGCGCGGCCTTAAGTTAACCCTTCCATGATGAACGGCGCCCTGACCTGGGTACGAAATTAAGATCAGTGTTCGATACGGGCAACCTTTTTTTTTCGTCCTATCGCATTAGATTTGGAGTCTGCGGAGGATGTCATCCAAAAAATTTACTTACAGTGACCGTATGTTGGAATTTCTCCATGTACAAACATTTTCATCAGATTCCCAACGGTTTTTGTAACATTTTAACATGTCAGTCCTTTCAGTCTTTGGAAATATTTGGTCACTTGTTCATTATTTAAATTAGTGCCTTGCTTTCCCTATGTATTATGTGTCTTTATATCGTCTTATGTGTTGATGGCGGCATAAATATAAGCGTAACTTGAGTGTGCAGTCATCACGTTTTGCCAATACATGCCGCAAAAAAAACCTATATAAGTAATGATCGTCAGACGCGGCCTTAAGTTAACCCTACCATGATGAACGGCGCCATGACCCGGGTACGGAATTAAGATTTGCGTTCGATACGGGCAACCTTCGGGTCACAGCTGGCGCCAAGTGTGAACAGTCATAAATTAGCAACGGCGAGAAGATGAAGTTTTCATTATTGATGGTCACATTGGAGTGATTTGCTTTAGGGTCAGGGTAGTTCAAAGGTTTTCTCATAAAAGGAAAACACAAGGCAGCCATAGTTTCTGCACACATGGTAATTTAAAAAAGTGTGAAGTGTGAACAGTCATAAATTAGCAACGGCGCGAATATGAAGGTTTCACTATTGATGGTGATTTGCCGTAGGGTCAGGGTAGTTCAAAGGTTTTCTCCTAAAAGGAAAACACAAGCCAGCCATAGTCTCTGTACACATGGTAATTGTAAATATCTCTCTCTCTCTCTCTCTCTATCCCTCTCTATTTGGCCCATTTCTACTCTTTCCAGCCGCGTCCCGAAGCCTGGTAGAGGCTATGGTCAGACTGTTTAGGTACATGTGGATACATGATATATAGAGATGAGTTCTACATTGAATGTTTTTTCATATGGCGTAAAATTGGCCTCTGTAGAGCCGGAATCCTGCACAATACAGGTTTGCCCTTGTGTTGGAATTGCTGGAATATCGATCAGAAGATTACAGTGAAGATTACAGTGAACAAGCCTAGCCTCCATAGCATGCCAAAAACTGGGGGTTTTTGGGGTCTTCGGGGTCTTTGTTGTCAGTGTTGACTAATATATAATACTCTATAGTGCTCCTTTAAAATGGGTATTTTTGGTCATTTCTATATATACCTTAAGAAGGTTTAGAATGCTGTATTTCATATATTTGCTGTACAAACCTTGAAGCAGGGCTGCTGGCGCTCCGCACCATTCCCGATCTATACGTCCCACTCGCTTCCCTGTACTCCGCCATAAACGCTCCAACGGGCCTTGCCACGGGCTCGCCTTCGGGAGAACTCGCTTCCAGGCCCGAGTGGGATCGCGTGGAGCTCCCGTCATATCTCAGCCCCGCCACGTCCCTGTAGTCCGTAAACGCGCAGATACAGAACCCAGGTAACAGTAGCACTCCCCCGATACTCAGCGTCAGCGGTCCGAAGATTTTAAGGTTAAACATGATCATTTGGTCTATCGACTCTGCAGACGGGCTGAGAGATCTGGTGTATGCTATAAGAGTCATGACGAGCCCCGTTACTGTAGCGAATAGCCCGATTTCCACCATGGTTAGAACCATACCGTGACCGCACAGAGGCATGATGCTCGTCGGAAGGGGGTGGGGAAGCGTCCCGAGGAAATTTCCGTACAGCTGCGGTGGTGATGTGCTGCCCTTACCAGGTGGATGCAGACGGTAGATGAGTAACATCAGCAGTACGCGTAGCCTGGTAACCAGACCCCGTGAGCTCAGCGCTTTCTCTTCGGCGCTGGGAGCGTTTTGGGCCGCCAAACCAGGCCCCAATTAACGCGCACCGGTGGTAGATAGCTTTCTGCAAACGGCTTAAGGATTCTTCGCTCACACTTTGGGCAGTAGAAGACTTGAGGTAATACAGGAAGTCAGCGGATACAGGGAAACCAGCTGGAGATAGGTCCGTGGCATAACTCGCCTGTGGTTGGTAAAGGTCGGGCAGGAAAATCACCGCCAAGCCGACCAAAGATTTGGTACCCAGGGTCGGCGGCAACAGAAGACTAAGCGTAATACAGGAAGCCAGCGGATGAAGGGAAACCAGCTGGAGATAGCTCCGTGGGTATATAGCTCGCCTGTGCTTAGTAAAGACCGGGGTAGGAACCCTGAACCTTGAACGTGGACATCTGGGATGTCATCACGCAAAACAGTGGGTCCTTCTCCTCCACTCCTCTCTGTCATCCATCAGTGATCGGAGCTCAGGTGTTGAGATGTCCCTGAGTCCAGCATCCCGCTTCAGGGTGTCAATATTGCAATGTAGGTTGTTGACACCCCTAAGGTTTGGTACCAGGGCTAGATATAGGTCCGTGGGTATGGATCACCTGTGCTCAGTGAAGGCTGGGGTAGGAAAATCACATCACCCTAAGCCGACCCTAAGGTTTGGTATCCAGGCTACAGCACAGACGAACGATGTGAAGCGCCTTTTAGTTCCGGTGGCAACATAGACCGGCCTGCCAACAGCCTGTACATAATTGACGTCGTCAGAGGGATAAATCAATGCTGTGTAACTGAGGCCGAAAGGTGTAGCAGTCTGGGGTAGGAAAGCCGGCCCTAAGGTTTTGGTATCCAGACTACAGCACACACACAAGCGATGTGAAGCGCTTTTAGTTCCGGTGGCAACCTAAAACGGCCTGCCAACAGCCTGTACATAATTGACGTCGTCAGAGGGATAAATCTCTGCTGTGTAACGTGGTGCTGAAAGGTCTAGCAGGTCAGGCAAGATCTCGCGGCTGGACGTCAGACAGGAAAATCCTTCTCTCAGCTCTGAAGCGGTTATCTTTCCACTTCAATAGGCGAGACGATCCATCTTAGGTACAGGCAACCGGAGGTGTGTAAAAGCTTGTCACTGATGGAAATGTGTAGCCTCCGTAGCAGGCTTATAGAACTGGGAGTTTGGTGGTCTTCGGATGTTTTCTGTTTAGCCCAGTTCTAAAAAACGGGGGTAATTCAACCAGGCCGGCTATGTTGTCTATATGCAATCAGAAAATAGCACATAAATGCTCCAAAAGACCCTGAAGACCCCCAAACCCTCAGTTTTTGGCTGTGGAGGCTAGAAAATCAGGCTCTCAGAGCAGAATCACATATCTTTCCACTTCAATAGGCGAGACGATCCATCTTAGGTTCAGGCAAGCGGGGGTGTGGAAAAGGTTGTCACCGCTGAAAATGTGGGTCTCTCCGGATGATTGTACAGAGGTGCTGGAGGACATCATCAACTCGCTCGCGTTGCCGCCTACATGTGGTGAAACTGCGTCAGAACTTACAAATTTCTCTTCCCAAGAAGCAGGAGGTTTTGAGCGATAGCGTTTTGTTACGATTAGCCTGGTTACCAGTCTCTACAGGCCGGCTTGTGTATAGTTAATAACGCATATCAAATCTTGTCTGAGAATGTCTACTGACTGTTACACTCTAGACGGATGTTTAAAACGCTTAAGGCAGAAACGGTACGATTGCAACGAGGGAATTGCACAGCGTATGAATATTAATGACAACTTTAGTGAACTGCCGAGATCTTAACGACAGTCTTAGTGGTTCTCAAGCTATCAGATTTCCCAATAATGGACAATGCCGAGGGAAGATAGTCCGAATGGAATTGAAACACGTACAGTTTGACAGATAACACATTTGTATCGGGTGTAGAGTTGAGTGTGGTTTCATCGTGTTGTCGTGACTATATAACAGTCGGTTGCACACTGGAGGCTGCAACCAATGTTTCCTCAACATATTTCATAGACAAAGATCGACCTTTGGACGTTTATTGTGTTTTGTTGTCTTTCAAATAATCCGTTTCCACCGCATGCCAATTATAAAATTAGGGGTGGTAAAAGTTTAATTTTGGTTGACTAGTGAAAGAACTGTCATTAACGATTATTTTGACACAACTTGGACTTAACTGTCGTTTACTATAATACTGAACTATATGCTCGGAACAGAATTCCTAAATCAAGTGCTAAATTTCCATCACACAGACACCACAGGAAGAAAGGGAATCCTGTTAACATTCAACTGAAGTAAAATGAACGACACAGTTTCCTCCACACGACATGGCGTCAAAAGCACCAGCCTGTTGACAAACCGTCATGTGTAAAAACATTTCACGACCCTTTCAGGTCCTTTCTTCTGCCTGACTTTTACCTATATATGACCTTATATTGTCCTGTGCTAAATTTCTATTACACAAACACCACATAAAGAAACTGAAACTTGTTAACATTCAACTGAAGTAAAAGGAACGACACAGTTTCCTCCACATGACTGGGCATCAAAAGCACCAGCCTGTTGACAAACTGCCATGTGTAAAAACATTTCCCGACTCTTTCAGCTCCTTTCTACTGCCTGACTTTTACATATATTACCTTATATTCTCCTGTGCTAAATTTTCGCCACACAAACACCCCATAAAGAAACTGATACGAGTATCTTGGAAACATTCACTTAAAGCAAAGGAACGGCACCGTTTCCTCCACATGACAGGGCGTCAAAAGTACCAGCCTGTTGACAAACCGCCATGTGTAAAAACATTTCCCGACCCTTTCAGGTCCTTTCTACTGCCTGACGTTTGCCGCTAACCGATGCGTACATCACAGAACCCTGAGGTTCAGCAGCGGGCCATAAACCGGTTTTATCGTCGTGCAAACTCCGCCGTTGCCTGGCAACCGTATCCGATGGATGGATGATGCGTGAAGGAGGACCTGGCGGCCAATCGTGGCGGCCTCTCCTGCCCCGGGCCTCGGAAAAAATGTTGTGTTTCCTGTTTCGCGACCGACCCTTGAAAACTGCTGACCCTAGCCTTTTTTAAAAACTTGTTACTAAACCTATTATAGCTCCCGAGTCCTACAGCCTCTCCGCA